ACAATTTTTCATGAGTGTTTGTGAGTATAGCACTCATTTGAATTACAGACTATAAGAAAAGAACAGAATTTCATTTTTTACGCCTTTTTTTCGCAAAGACACGTGCGGAAAGTTTTAAAAATTTGCTTTTTTAACTACATTGAGCCCTAACTCAGTAGTGAATGCACTTGTATTTAAGATAATAGTTCAAAACATAGTTGATAGCCTACTAAATAAAATCCTCAAAGGACTTTACTTTGAGCGATACAATTTTTCTACAGTGTTTAGCGTAAGTACAAAAAATTCGTCATTTTTACCAAAAAATCGTCATTTAAAGTAATAATAATAATAACAATAGTTTTTTGTTAGTTTCATAAGTTTTTACAGAAATTAAAACATATAAACTAGTTTTTTTTAAATTTTTGATTAATATTTTTTTTAAAAAAATGGCGAAACTAGTCAGATACCTTAATATCAAATACTTTATGCTGAGTTATAAATAAGAATAATTCTTCAATATTAAACTTTAAAAAAAGGTATGAATCTTAATATGTAATCAATACTATTATCATCAGCTGTATATTAACGACCCTCTTGAATTATCTAACATTTCTCAAATACCCGAAATCTCGCTATCGCCCCCCCCCCCTTAAAGTCTTCACCACCCACTGGGGGAAAATAGCACCCACGTTTGGAACCTATGATCTAGATTACAGCGTTATTAGGCCTTATTTAAATTAAATCATACGTATAACGTGATGCATAATTACTGTAGTCTACTGTGCGAGTAAAGAACAGTGCTGTAATAGTTAAATATATAGTGTATATGCTACGGTCAACATGAATAGACGGTAACTATTTATACTAACTGGTCAATATTAATATTAACCAAATAAGCCGATTTATGTGAATAATTTAAGCGAATTTATCAAATTAATCGGTTACTATTGATAATAAATCAATGAAATTTGGTCAACGTCATTCTTTTGCTTTTTTAGTGAGGATATTTCCGTATCATGATTTCGCACGCCAACAACAATCGTCAAGGCACCAATCGGAAAAATAAAATAAATTATAAAAAAAAACTGTCAATGTTTGCCCGGGGAGCCTACTTGTTATATTCTTCGAGTTGCTCCCCTTTAGTCATGTTTTTTTTTTAATTTTTTCTTTTTTTTGAAGTTTTTAGCAGGCCGCCGCCTGGATTATCCCCTTTTTATTTCTTATATTTCTTCTCTTTTTATTTATTCCTTTTTTATCAATCACAGAATCATTGTATAGGGAAAAATATACTTGAGGGTGCCCCTTGGCGAAATTGGCGACTTATGTTTGGCGCTATTCCTGTTTGCGCGGAACACTGTGGTAACAGGAATGGTAGCCAAAACATAATGATAAATTTAATAAAACATTGGAAAATTTCAACAAAACATCGGATAAAGCTTGCAATGAGCCCAATCTAAGCAAAATTAATAAACCCAATAAAAAGGATTTTGAATCTAAGCTAAAATTAATGGAGTAGGAGCAAAAAGAAAAGGAAAAAAAAAACTCACTTCTTCATTAAGCTTGAATATTCTCAGATTTAGGTGCACAGAAATATCTAATAACAGTTAGATACTGTCTAAATTTATCATGAATAGAATCTGTCTACCTCCGTCCCGCAGTGGACTGATCGTTAAGACACGGTTCCCAGCAGATCACCGAAGTCAAGCATCACTGGCTGCGGTCAGTGTGCGGGTGGGTGACCACTTGGATCAGTCTGCGCAGGGACCGAGGGTGTGCGGTATTGGTCCTCGTTAAACTGTGCTACCGTAAAGTGCTCGACTTCGCGCGCAGGTCGTCGGGCTACCGAAGCGGGGGTACCATCACCTCCGCGAGGATCAAAATTGTGATGGCATGTCCTCGGATCATCCTCCGGGATGTTTCCCAGACCGTCGCCAATAGCCCATTGTGCAGCTCTAGTGCGACGTAAATTAACAACAACAACAAGTGTCTACCTCCACCGCCATATAAATTCGACGAAATAGGAATCGAAAATGGCGTCTGTAATACCGGACTAGCGGTGACATTTTTTTCTTAAATCCCTTTTCATGACTGCCCACATACCTTCGATCTTATAGACCAGATTCAAAAGTAACCTTATCAACCGGTATCCAACGTAGAACTAACGGACCTCTGAAATTACAACCGTTGAACATTTAAAAATAACACTAAAATCTAAACCGATCAGAATCACGATTGGATTTCAACATCGCCCAGCTAGGTGATCAACCGCGATCACAACTTGGCGAGAATCAAGGGGCACCCACAAATATAGTCTACCCATTGTATATCATTAAGATTGGCTATTCATGTAATCAGGTATTCAACTATAGAATTTAGTTTTATGAGTTGATTAGTTTGTTCGTATATTCATTCATGAGCTAATTCGCTGATTCTGTCAAAAAATACAAAATACTTACTGACCTCAAATAAAACTCAGAGGACTTCGAATCAAATAATTAAAACTCTACTATTGCGTTTAATACAAGGTCCGGCTATTAATTTCCAGGACTGACGTAACTGTAGGAGAACGAAAAGCCGGAAGATGGCGCTAATGATTGCATATTGAAGAGTGCTTTCTTGCGCATGTGCAGTGCAATCGGCACCATACTGAAGTAAGTGGTTCTCGTAGAAAGGCGCATTAAAACGTAGCTCTTAAATTCCTGTTGTCGAAGTGAAAATGGAGCAAGAATAAACATTAAATGTTGCTTCAAATTGGGCAAGACAGCTGCGGAAACCTACAAATTGTTAAAACAAGTTTACGGCGAGGAAGCATTATGTCGCTCAAGAACTTTTGAATGGTTTAAAAGCTTTCGGGACTGCGCGAAAGCGTGGAAGATGATCCACACACAGGTTGGCCGCAGTCGTTACGCACGCCCGAAGCAATTGAAAAAGTTCGCTTCCACACATTGCGCTGCCTGTGAGGCTATTCTTAACCCAGCATGGTGTCGTTAAGATGCAGCATCCACCATACTCTCCAGACCTAGCACCCGCAGACTGTTTCCTAAGCTGAAAAATTCGCTGAAGGGGACAAGATTTCAAGATGTCGAAGCCATCAAGAAGACTGTAACGTCACTATTAAAGAGCATTCCGAAAGAGGACTTTAAAACTTCTTTCCGAAATTTGTACAGCCGAGCACAGACGTGCATTACGGCTGATGGGGATTACTTCGAATAATATTAAATGGCTATGCGTTTAATTTTATTTTCTTCTGAGTTATTCTATGAGTCCTGGAAATTAATAGCCGGACCTTGTATAAAAGGAAGATTTATTAACTAAACATTAAAATTACAGCATCGCAGTTCTAAAACAAAAACAAATCTCTACTCAAAAACTATTTACATTTTAAACCATCACCATGGCAACCACAAAAACTCTTCTCGTTGCCATCTTCAAACTGATATGTAATAAGTAAATTATTTAACAAAAAATACGATGCGTATGAGCACATAATATTTCACATCCTCCCACCTAAGTTAACAACATTAACAAAGTTAACTTACATAGCTTAACGATATCTTATGTTAAAATGACACTTTGCAAGAGTTTGAAATAAAATTTAAAGTTCTAATTCACTACGCAGTTCTTATAAATATAGTTTGTGAAGCCTTTTTAACAGCTTGTCCACTCCCTGTAAAATAAACGGCACAGGTAAAAATGCATATCCAGCCCTTTGAATTGTCTTTCAAAATCATAGGTTAAAGCCCAGCAAAGTCCACACCCGTTACAGGGAAAACAGTATCTTGAACTCTCTCACCTGGTGGAGATGCATTTGATGGATCTTCAGATTTGGCAGAAAAACGTTTGCAGACTACACAAGATCTCGATACAGCTTTTACAGTTCTTCTACCACACAGCAGCCAAAATCTTTCTCTAAGAGAATTTAATGTGCAGGAAACACCAGCATGCCCCCTTTTTCTATGTTCAGACAGTACTATAGGGTGCTCTCCAGGTAAAACAGCAGGTGTTCTAAACTCTTCAAAATCATCTCTCTTATATACAGTTGTTCTTAATCTATAGATTCCTTTCTTATCAATAATTATATCTAGAGTTTTAAGGCTTTTATCTGAAACTCTTGTAAATGACTCCTGTTGTATCAAGTATACAGTGGTTTTCTCAGCTTCCTCTAATTCATTTACAGAAAGATCTCCTTTTCTTCTTTCTTCATTTTTGCAATTAAAACGGAATCTCGTCACCCACGCCATAGTATGTACAATTTTTCGATTATCAGAAATATTAGAGCTCAAAAGTTTAGTCACTTCAAAATTTATCATTGAGGTTGTGACACCTTTTCTTTTCTCCCAGTTTACTTCCTCCTCATTAACGACATATTTAGACGAAGTCCACAATTCTTGAGGTAAATATATGGAACACTTCTTGGATCCACTTAGTCCAAAATACCTTGGAATATTAATTTTCTCAATGTGCAGTACACCTTCAATCCATTTTAAAAATTCTCTTCTGATGTTTTCATCAACATCATCATCCCAATTCAGTTTCAACTTCCAAATGCTCTGAAGAAGCAATTTTGGGATCATCGTTACAAGACAGATCATACCCAAGGGGTCAAAAAGTCTATGTACAGCTGACAGGATGGTTCTCTTCGTTACTTTCTCAATGTTAAGCTCTTTAATGCAACCTGTACTCACTGGAAGAGTATCATATTTCTTATCCCAGCTCATACCAAGAACATTTGAAGATGGCTGTGAATTTTCCTCGGTTAAGTCGGTGTACTCCCACCCTCTAAGATCGAATTTTCTACTTGCCATTATTTCAGTAGCAACTCTTTGAAACATATTCAATTCTTCTATGTCCTTGACACTCGTGACGCAATTGTCTACATAAAAACTTTTCATTAGTTTTTGTACAACATATTCAGGATAAGTAGCTTTTTGTTCCCTTATTTCTTTCAAAACATTCATCAGAAGGTATTTGATAGTTGAGGACAACAGAAATGGCCTACATATGACTCCAAATACTATCCTTCAATGCCTGTAAATCTTCAAGCCTTCATCATTAAGCCACAAAAATCTTAGGTAGTTCCTATCAGTTTCAGTAAGTCCGATTTGTAAGACGACTTTACGCATGTCTGAAACGACACCAATTCTCTCTGTCCAAAACCACATCAAAATACATGGTATTAATTCAATAAGATTTTCACCCTTCTCTAAGCAATCATTTAAACTTGGAAAACCTTTGGCCTTAGCTGAAGCATCAAATACGGGTCTAATTTTGGTAGTGCTATTTGGTTTTATAACTGCACGATGAGGTAGGTAGTGTTCATTTTCCTCGAAATTATCCTGTACTTCTTCTATTATTCCTTCCTCCATCCATTCATTAAAAACTTGCTCATACTCTTTATAAATCGACTGCAATTTAAGTCGGTTGACATTCGAATTCAATCTTTTATACGCCAGGTTATAGTTGGTTGGCAATGGAGGATGATCTTCCAGCCAAGGCAAGCTAACCACAAAACGGTTTTCTACATCTAGTCTGATTGTCTCCAAAAAGTAATCTTGTGTAGCTCTTTGCAATTATGCCTGCACTTTCTTCGCAGATGGATCTGTGATTCCCAAAACATCCAATGACCACAGTTGATTCACAGATGCTTCAGTCAAAAGAAATGAAAGAGAATAATTTGTCGTCCCAGCAATATCATTTATAGGTATCTTCCCCATAAGAGTCTACCCTAGATGTGACTCAACGGCAACAGGACCTTCAATCAAACATTTTACATTGCCAGTGAAAAGCTTGCCGGCCACATCAGCTCCAAGTAATAATTTGACGTCATTAGATACTCCTAGAGAACTGTACTCAGTATCATTCACACAAATTCCATATTCATTCAACTCTTTCAGCCATGGACCATTAGGGATGCGTTTGACATAATCAGAAATCATTGGTTGATCTAAACAAAGTACTTTGCAATTAAATTTGTTATCAGTACTCGCTAAAGTAAGTTTGTATTGAGAATGACACTTTTCACCTGATGATACACTTCCAAACAATTTGTGTACTAACTTAATTTCTCCGCATTTCTCTATACCCAAATATTTGACTACGTCTCTCGTAATATATGTTCTCTCAGAGCCTGTATCAATAATAGCTCTCACAAGTTTGTCTTTATCTCCATTTCTTATGAGCAGGACTAGAGTCTGTAATGAAACTTCAGAATGAAGTGATTGGCTATTTTAGACGTTATCGCCAACGGTTGCTTTACTCTCTGGGTTTTGAACTTCATTACTGGCCGCAACTTCTCTACAAAGAAGTATGTTGTGCTTTTTACCACAATTAAAGCATGGTTTCTGTCTGCAATTTATTACTCTGCGGCCTAGTCGTAAGCATAAGAAACAACAACGTGATCTTGCAACAGCAGTTTCTCTATCATTTAAACTCCAATTTTTTGCATATTCACAATTCCAAGAATTGTGCTGGTTTTCACAAAAAAGGCACTTTCTCTTATCATGTGGTGAAGTAAGCAATTCAGAAGTGGAAGGTACTTGTGCAGATTTACCAAATTTTTGTTTCAACTGGAATCTACCATTCGTAGGAATTCTTCGTTTCTCACCATCATCTGTACTTCTCACGAAGGATTGAGATGCCATGTTCACTCTCTCTTCAGCCTCTACTTCTCTCTCTAAGAACTCTAGCAAAGTATCCAAATCAGTCTTGGTAGTTGGTTCAGCTCCTTCAACGTTTGGAACAACATGAATAATCGACCGTTTGTTTATAGTCCGATATCTTTCCCACGTCTTGAGCGTTTCCTCTGGAATAGACGACTCGACTAGAGGAAATAACATTGCAGCATATTTTTCTCTTGTTACTCCTAACACTTCTAGTGATTGAAGTTTTGACTCCAGTTGATCATAAAGTTTCCGCAGAGATTTCTCAGATTTGCTTTGCTTCTGTAATACTAAAGCTAATAACTCTCTCCCATACACTTGAATCAACAATTCATCTTTTCCATACCGAGTTTTAAGTTGATTAATTGTTGTTTTATAACTCTCTCCACTCGGAGGAAAACTCTTTGAAAGTTCATCAGCAGGTGATCCTTTTAACATGGATTGCGATAAATAAGGGAATTTATCATGGTCACCAATATTCTGATCTTTGCAACTTTCTCAAATTGGCACCAAAAACTGAACCAGTTTTTCAAATTTCCATCAAAGACTGGAAGCTTAATCTTTGGATACTGCAAATTTGTCGAATCAACAACTAAATGGCTAGTAACGGACATATTATGTTTTTCAGAAATGGAATAAAGTAAATTTTCCAATTTAATATCAAAAACTCTAATTTTATCAATATAAGATTCGGAATCATCTATTTCGTTATCAATTTCTTTTTCATCTCGAACTTCCGAAAACAACTCAGTTCTTACATTTTCTTCAGATACAAGTAATTGCTTACCTTTTTCTGATATGATTCTTAATTTCGACAATTTCTCTTCATCGTTCATTTCAGTCTCAATTTTTGCAAAATCATTGCATGACTGAGTAAACAATCTACAATGCTGTGTTCTCACTTGCTTCAATACTTCCATTTTCACTCAGATTCAGTAATAGTCGTTTTCTAAAATCTCAACAGAAATTCAAAGTCCTGTCGCGGACGCCATATGCCAAAAAATACAAAATACTTACTGACCTCAAATAAAACTCAAAGGACTTCGAATCAAATAATTAAAACTCTACTATTGCGTTTAATATAAAAGAAAGATTTATAAACTAAACATTAAAATTACAGCATAGCAGTTCTAAAACAAAAAACAAATCTCTACTCAAAAACTATTTACATTCTAAACCATCACCATGGCAACCACGAAAACTCTTCTCGTTGCCATCTTCAAACTGATATGTAAGAAGTAAATTATTTAACAAAAAATACGATGCACATAATATTTCACAGATTCATCAGTGGATTGATTTTCTTATTCATCCATTAATAAAATATTTACTAATATATCTATTCACTGATTATTTGAGCTTTCTCACCCGAGTATTAGTGACAAAATCAGTTATTAATTTCAATTAAAAAGTTGAGAGAATTAAAATGATAGCAAAGTGGGCGTAGAAATGTTTAATAAAATCATTGTGAAAATGAATAGGTTTATGAGATCAAAACTAAAATTTACAAAATCATTGTATGTAATCAGAATTGACTATTCAAGGAATCAGGCCTTTCAATTTTTGAAAAACATGGGTTCAATCATTGAAAATCTTCAGAATGTCAAAATTCTCCAACGACTCCTCTTTAGAGATTAAATCGGCAAATATATTGCTAACTTAAAAATTATTTGCAAAAGGGCAAGATTATATTATCATTAAAATTTATAAATGAAAATGCGTAATTTGTATTTTAAGTTTTATCTTTGAATTTTTGAATTTTAATACACAAATACCGATAAGTACTTCGAAATAGAAAATAATTAAAAGCTATCTGAAAAATATTTATATCGATTGGCAAGTGACACTTCGGCTGCTTTCCTTGTAATGCCCTTAACACCATACTATCACACAATTGATATATTAAAAACAACAATTTACTTATAATAGGGATAGAGTGCTCTCCTTACAATCGGGTAAGCCGGGTTCGAATCTCAGCGATGACTAGTCGATTCGAATTCCCCACTCGACATGCACTGACCATAGTGCTGAAGTAAAAATATCATCAGTGGTAGATGGATCATGACCTCGAGTTCCCTTGGCATCAGGCTAACCGTGGGAGTTTTTCGTGGTTTTCCTCTCCGTGTAACGCAAATGTGGATTAGTTTCATCAAAAAGTCCTCCATGTAAGGGAAATTTACCCAATACTTTGAGTTATCTTGTCTTCCGGATCGGGTTCAAAATTACAAGAACACTGAATTGAATATTAGTCATCGTAAACTTAAAATTGTGTCAGCTGCTCAACGATGGTTATAAAATAAAATAGACTGAAGAGTTGGTGTGTGTCTGTCTGTTCCTCTTATGACTCCTGAACAGTTTGCTCTACCGTCTTGAAATTTTGACAGCTGAAGAAGAGGGAAATTTATGCCCCTGATCCAAAAATTCGTTTAAAATTTCCAATAAAATTGTTTAGAAGAAATGTTTGAATTGTTGTCGAATTTTTTCATTGGTTACCATTGTTTCCAAGTCAATTAACCATTCATAACTATTAAGAACTGAGAATGAAACCCTTTTCTTCTACTGTAACTGAAATTTCAATCATAAAGGCAAAGGTTATATGTGGGATTGCTTTCTTTCAGCAGAATGCTGTTCATTTTTTTAATCAAAAATTCTTAAAAATTCTCCTTTTCCATTCCAGGGGGATTCTAATTCGAGAAGGGATGATTACGCAATCACTAAGCCAGCATCATCTCTGGAAATCAGTAAACCCATTATCTTTCCTTCATTTATCATCCTCCTATCTTCATGAAATCATAGCAGACTTAGCGCATGCGCAAATACATGGAAAGTCTTTGGGATTGAAAAGATATAGTAGTTTTGTCTAATTCAAAAATTAACAAAAGCATAATACCGTTATCCTTATTATATTGGAAGAAAATCTTAATAGCATTAACGGATATCATGAATTTCGTCAATAAATATTTTTTTAATTATTTTTCTTAAACTACAATTACAATTGAAAATGCAAATTATAATGTGACAAATTTTAATTGTAACCAATGTGCATGATCGAAATTGCACCATTTTGATAATTCAGAAAATGCTTTTAGAATGAATACAATCTTTATAAAGGTTTCTGTTTGGAGTATTATTTCAATTTAATGAAACACGAATATTTCATAAAAATCTATATTAAACTATTTGACTTAATGTAAAGAGCTTAAATAACGAAAAGAAAATCCTGTCTCATTTAAATTAATCTTTCATACAATAAACTTTTAAGTTCTGTTTCATGAATTATTCATTACTTAGCTGATAAAGATATCTTTACTGTTTACCAAAATGTTCACTGTTCAAAAACGGCTATTGTAAACATTAAGAAAACTTTTCTTAATGTTTACAATCAATAACAGAAATGTTTTTTAAATTTTATTTACTTTATTTTATCTTTTATTTTATGTATTTGCTTATTTATTTATTTTTGGAAATGGTGTTAAACAAAGGGTATTTATTTAATTTTGCATAATCACCAAAATGAATTTAAACTAAATTATTGCTTACGTTGCGAGTTTGCAAAATTATATTTGAATTTTTGACTATGTATATTTTACATTTGTTTTTTTATAAAATTAAAATAACTACAGTGAGGAGAAATTTAACCTTATTTTTTATCGACTTTTCCATTGTTTAAACGAAATCAGCATAATCTTAAAAGAATTAACAACTTTAATCCTTACTAAAATGAGTTCTTAAATAAAAGTATGTAAGGTTATTTATGCATTTTATATTTAATATTCATGTACTTTGTTTATTTCAGTTTCTTTAATTATTATAAAATATATATTTTCATGAGGGTAGGGTATTTCAATTAAATATATAGCTTTTGTATAAAACAACTGTTTATATATTTAAAGCATTTTTAATCTGCGTAATATCCCAGAAATAAAGTATAATATTAATTCTTTGCAAACTAACACATTAATTTGTCGAATGTAAGATTTATTCCCCTTTCAAGTGTTCGAGGAAATATTCCTTGAAATCAAAGAGAATTTCTCATTTAGTTTTAAAACAAGTTTTACACAGCAAAACTCATTAATCAAACCGGATAGAAAATTTCAATTCAGGGCCACCTGAAGAAAGTATTTTTATCAAACAATACTTCTCTTAGATCTTTGGCCATATTAATTAGGCCTGTGGTACTTCACTGAATAAACTGCCAATTCATTAAATATTCTAGTACAGAGAAGTTTGCATATTCTAGTACAGAGTAAGTCGCGGTAATAGAAGGGACCGTGAACTGTACCTAATCCAATTTACAACATCAAGTCCTCTGCAGAGTTCAATTCATTCTCTCTTTGATGAATGAACATTTTCGGCTGTAATTAACTACACTAATTACTAGATATCTGTTTAACCAATCGCACTTACCTTGATCCAATTAGCCTGGTAGGTTAGACATCAAAAGTACAAGCATCACTCCTCTCCCTACATTCGAGGGGAGATTATTCTATTGTTCCAAAATCTGAAAGTTCACTGCAGGTCACGTATAGCCTCTTGATGAGAATTTAAATGCGAGGGAGTTTGTTGAAAGCAGCTGGAGGCAGTTAAGAATAAATATATAGGGTGTTCTATATTGACCATCCTTTGTATTTGCCTTCAGAATCTTTGTCTTGTATGTGTTATCAGAATCTAAGTGATAACGACAGATATTATTGATTGAAAATTATTTATGTAGGCGAAAAAAAATATAACGTTACCAAAATCAGACAAATCAGATCAGATTTCGTAATAAATTCAATGCATTTTCATTTTTGCCTTTTATTACTCTCTTATATTGAACCCAACTTAAAGACAATGGTGCCAAATTGTCGTACTTTATTTTTTATTTAAATATTTCATGTTAGATTTTTTTCCTGTTATACAATTTCATTGCTGTCGGTCTAGCTGTAAGGATTTTTCTTGATTTTTTTAATCACAAATTCATGATTTTTTTATTACAAATTCGAGATTTTTTTTACTAAAAATTTCAATTATTTCTGAAAATACATAATAATCTTTCATACAGACATAATAATCTTTCCATTCAAAAAACGATTCTTAAATAATCTCAGACTTCCATAAACTTTAATACGTTTTTTATCAATTAAATGTGTGAAGCCTAAATTAAGATTTTTGAAACACTTTCAGAGATTTTTCGAATCACGTAGAAGCAAGTTATTTCTGAAAGCAAATTAAGTATCTTCCGCAAAGATTATTTTTGCTGTATAAATATCCTTTTACAATTATACAAATACATTTTTACGCAATTACAATTTTTAAACAAATATACTTTTTGTCCCAGAATAATGAACTGATGGATTAATTTTGTTTATCATACAATAAATATAGAACTGTTGGTATTTAACAACACAAATCACTAAATTTAAAATATATTGGCATATTATTTGTCGATAGAAATTCATATAACTTTCTTTGCAAATTGTCATGCAAAATTCTTTAAAATTCTAGCTATTAGTATTTCTTTATGCTCATGCAGATATATTTCCTCTTTTTTCCGTTATCAACTCTTTTGCTTTCTTTCAGATTTTAAAAGGAAAAAATTGAAAAGATAATTTTACTTCAATAACCATTTCCAATAACAAACAGTTTGCCAAACATTACCAATTTATTGTGAGTTTGAGCTTATGAATAATATAAGCACTCTTTTCATTACAAGTAGAATTTAAAATCATTCACTTATCATCATTCATGTCTGCTGATATAGTAAATTTTGAGACATGGTGGCTCAAGGGATAGAACCGTCAGCTTTCAATGGAAACGGGTTCGAGTCCCAGTGACAGCTTGTCAATACGAATCCCGCACCCGGCTTGCACCAACCACAAAACAGACGAAAACTATCCTACGTGGATCACGGGTCAGAGTCCCCTTACCGTAATTTTAA